ATGAACTAAATAACCCGAAAACAAAAAAAAAGAGTAGTTATAATGAATGAATATACTATGTAGACACATTGTTATCTATTTCACAAACTGATGAGCACGCTAAATAATCATTAATTGTGCATATATGAATGTATTTCTTTTTTATTTCAAATGTAATGTTAATAAGGTATATGATTGTTTCCTTGTTTCATTTATATCACTATCTAGCAACAGTTTTCTTATTTTTTTTGAATAAAGAAGTGTTATTTGAATAATTCATTAGTTTAACTTGTATTCAATAAATGATGTTCAGTAAATAAACAAACTAACAACAACAAATTTCTTTAATTGTCTTCTAAAATAATTAGTTATTAATAGATTTTTTTAAATCTTTAATCCCCAAAGTATTAAGGCCAGAAAGTTATCTTTTTTTTGGTTATTTTTGGATTGGCTAATTAAAAACTCATTATTAGCATAGAAACATTATATTTCAAACTAATTCTACTGGAATGGATGAAGATTTGATTATTATTATTTAAACACATAAATATTGGTACAAGGAAGCACCAGATACATATGCGCCGCACAAATCTCATTCCATTTGTGTGAGGGCTGTAATACTGCCCAGGTGCCCAAACTGAAGCAGGTGGTTTTCTTAGGGGGCCACACTCAGAGCCTTTGACCTAAAGATCTGATCCACAAGGCAGTGGAGCATCGTTAGGAGATGCAGTCCCATGGTAGCCGATGACCAATAACTGGTTCATACGCCATTTGTTCCCTCAGGATACTGGAGCCCATGTGCACCATTGGTTTGGAATCAGGGTTTTCCAAATCCCCTAGGTGAACTTTCCATGTCCACCAACCCGGTTAAAGCGCCGGAAATTCGCTTTTCATCCTCTCAATTTCGTAAACAACACCCGTGACGCGAAAAGGCAATGACTACGACTTCCCTGACAGAAGCTTTATACGCGTGGCCATGTGAAAGCATTTCGAGAGGTAGAGCGGACTCTCACCACTCTCAGCCGTAACAGGGCATTTGGGGGCATGAAGACTTGATAGGTATATGTTATGTCCTGACATCAATACGGATTGGTAACTTTGCGATCTATTTATGAACCAATATTATGCATATATTTTTATCGTATAATTGTTAAATAACTAAACTATTCGTATTCATGTTTCCATTATCGTGAGATTTATTTTGAACTATAAACTATTATTATACGATTTACCATTCTTGAGTTATCCCTAGTCTATTAATTACTGCCTCCCATATTCACAGCCATATTTGGCTAAATCTTGTACAAATGTTATTTTCTATTTTATTGGTACGATGTAGTCAGTCTGTTTGGTACATAAACTCAGTATGTTTGAAATACAATGATTCATACCACAGAGGATGTTCTGAACTTAACTGGCTGGCAGAAGCAGGACCAACAAGTACTCTAAACTACTCGTATGGTTTTCGTGTGTCATTGTTCTAATCGATAATTCGCTACTCTCTGATTGGCGGTCTTATCACGTCATACATTAACAGAGCATCCACTCGACCACAAGTTATAACGGTATACTGTGGTGTTTATATGAACCAATGATTTGTTTGTAATGATGACTGTTTTGATTTTGAATTCCAAATACAGTACATTTGTTTGTGTTCATCTAATACTTCTTGATTAAGTTGCGTTATTACTGGGTTAACTAGTTTATACTATAATTCAAATACTTCTGATTATTACATATACCCAAATATGAAAGATTGCCTTCTTAAATTATGAAAATCATACATAATATATTACTTCATTTACATATTTTTCGTCAGTTGTCTTTTACATTCTTCATGAATCTCCCAATTCTCAATTCCTTCATGTTCTCCTTTCTGTTTTCTTAAGTTCAATCTTTTCAACCTTTTTTGCCAGGAGTTCCACTTCTGATCTATGTTACACACTACTTATATCTGTCAACATAATTAGCATAAACCAAACTATGAATGTCAAAAAATGTAGTTTATCTTCTGAAGGTAAACCCATAAATAGAATGGATCACAATGTTAAGTGCCACGCTTTGGAACACCGATCAAGCTACAAATAATGACAGCATGTTTGTACTGTATATAAAAACAAGCTAAGCAAACATTTAGTTTTTTTGCGAACCATGTTATATTTTTACGAGTATAGTATTGAATTCAATTATTTATTCTCTTGTTACCCTACCGCCGACATTGATTTATTGTTCATGTGTCTTACATTCTAATGTGATTACCGTCTTTATTTGATGTGTTTTATTTTAATTAATCCATCAGCTGACTTCTCAAGTGTTGTTATAATTTACAGTTGCATACAACAAGTAGTCCAGATTATTTACTACAATGTAAGGTTTTCCTAACTACCCAACTCTTGAAAATAATAACTAATCGTCCCTGGTTATTAAACTATTTGTTGGACTTATTTGAAATTTCCTAAAACTGGCTGTTAAATAATTAAGTATTTAGTCCATACAGTCACCCAATACCTGTGTATACTGACCTGTTAATTGAGATTGTTAGTCATTTTATTTGTGGTCCCGGTAATGCTTCATATATAATTGATGACATAAGCAATTGTAATTTAGATACTATGTAAAGTATACTATATTTATATCGAATAATCTTTATTTGGAGGCATTTTAAAGGTTTTCTTCCGAAAAGTATGTAGTATTTGTTTACTTGGTTCACAGGTTTATGCCTAGTTATCTGCGTTTTTTACTGATATACGAGACTATATTTGGGGGGTCTTTCTTTGTAATACGTCCCTTGATATTGCCCACTTTTGAAGATTAACTGTATTTTTTGTAGTGGCTAACAATGAAATCCATGTAATATAAGTTGGTAGCTATTGTGACTGAGTAATCTAATGTATAACCTTATGTCGGAAGTGATAAGTAATGAGTTTGAGTCTCAGTGTGGACATTAACACTGGGATTAAGGTAGACCCAGCTGGCGAGCCCCAGACAGGAAGGAACGCATTTGTTATTCAGTGCCTAAAGTATAACTAATTTATAAGATGAATATTTAAATAATACAATATATAGAATGTTTGCGCATAACAGATATGCAGGTAACAAAAGGATACTTGACTCAAGCCACTATGTTCGCAAAATTACTGCAATTTATCTATAGGGATCATATTATGGTGGAAGGTTTGTAATGTACGGAGATGTTTCATATCACGAGCTGAATTTGGCTAGAGATATAGTGGGAACTAGAAAACAGTCGCTTCGTACCAACTTTGAGAATACTCAGCAGTTCATATCCCAGATAATGCTAGGAAATGAAAGTGAGGCACAGTTCTCGTAGTGTCTCTAGACATTTGAGTTGAAACCCAATAATTCATACCTGCACATTCAGTTAATCAGCAATATTACATGAAAGTCATCAACTGTAACTAACAATATTCATCTTAAATTCATAGCTGAACTTCACACTAGAGCTAGGAATTCTTCTTGAAGTTAGTCACTGGTAAGCTGGGAGTTATTATTTGTATGGGAGGCTTGTGAACAGAACCGGCACCCAGTGCCGCGTAATTTTAAAGTGTTTTCCAGGTGATATCATAAACAAATAGCGATTAATTGAGCATACTCGGTTAGTGGAAAACTTAGAAATATGCATTCTTCATATATCTATCTATTTATTTCAATTTTTCATTTGGAAATAAAACTCATTTCTGTTTCAGAAATAAAGTTAAAATTAAATTTCACAATTCCCCAATGAATTTTTAAACTTGTATATAAAATTATTTTAAACCAGTCCACAAAAGTTGTTTGGACTAGCTTTTTGTTTCAGAGTTTTATCAAATATAACTAGGCTTACTGATAATTACAAGTAATTAGATGAATTATTCATACAAACCAGCCAAAGTGATTCTAGGTATTTTTAATCTTTTGTGGATAGGGAATAAATTTGTTAAATAAAAAGTTTTCCATAAACAGGATGAAGTTTGTGCTATGGCAAGGGTTTTGAACATGTTTTGATTGTTAAAGGGTTAGAAATGGTGCTAATCAATAGATGCTTCACAATTACACGGTGTGATCAACTAGTAACAAATTATGTAACAGAATTAATGATCTAAACGCTAAGTCAGATTGATACTAAAAGATCTTTTGAAAAATAAGATATTCTCTACTAAGCAGCAGATGACTTACACTTCTCGATCTCAAAATGTACCGTTCCTTAATGTACGAATTCATTAAAGCTTGATATGTAAAAGACGTCATTTGTTTTAGCTGGGGTGCGGCCTATACTTTGTAAATTTTTAACACAAAAATGAACATCGGACAATCTGCTTTATGTAACAGCTTTCATTTTATTAGCTTGTACCTATAATGAATTACTTCATGGTAATACTAGTAGGTGTTACAATTCTCCTTTTGAAATGGATATTGTTCTGGTGAAAAACTGGTTTAATAGAACTCTGACGTCAATAGTGACTGAGTTGATAAGTCGAAAACGGAACTAGTCAATGAGCCGTAACTGGAAATATCTTAGAAAAGAAAGCATTACCCGATAACTGACTGAACAGGCTAAGGAAAATAGGTTGTTGTTCATCTCAAAAAAAGGATTAAAGTTTCTTTTTCGCTATTAGTTCAGTGTAAATAAAATTCCGTCTCCAGGAGTGATTTAGTTAATAGAAACGTCACACTTAATGATATAACGAAGTTATTTTTGACATTATCAGCAAGTCCAAGGGAGCCATTTACACGATCACAACATTTTTTAGACTCATACAACCGCTTAACTGTAGCATCATAGGTGAAATTACTCATATCCAAAACAGGTTAAAGAGCCAAGACATTTTCATGTATTTTAGCCAGACTATATAGCTTTGACGTTATTTTCTCTACGTGCTTCAACACTTTAGACAATTGTTTCGAAATAAAACCCTTTTGTTCAAACTTTTTTAGTGAATCTATTAGCTGTTTCCAAATTATTGTCAGTCACATTACTTACTTAATACCAGTTTTTAAGATCTACTCCCATCGTTTAAAAGAGTCATCATCTTGTTTAATTAAGCATTTGTATCCATTTACTAACGTTCTTATACTTGGGACGGTGGACTTTATTTGACGTGAACTAATAGCAAGACGTGTAGAAACTTTAATTATCGTTTCTGAAATAAAATAGTTGATTTTCAGGTGTACAACGATTTCCCGTTTTGGATCTAACAGTGATAATCATTTTAACCAAATGTAAAATGTATTTCAAATCTTAAAAAATGATCACATTGAACAAAAAAAACACATATAAATATAAAAAGGGAAGTCCTCTGGATACAAGTCAGATTACAAGAATGATTGGATGCAGTAGTTTATGATAAAAGTCCTAAGTATATTGATCTTGGATATTTTGTCTTCAATTCTGGCCACTGAACAATTACATCTACTAAACGAGTATAATATAAAATTTTCCCAGATAATGATAAAGTTTTGGTACGGCAAATACTTTCAACAAAAATTATTAGAGTTGAATGAATTCTCAGTATCTGTTAATGACAAAAAGAGAAAAGCAGCAAATAATATATAATCATACAAACAAATTAAATAATTTCTTCAACGATCAGTGTATTAAACGTGGGAAAAACTGAAATGTTTGAAACCCTGAGTTTATAGTGGTTCCTTTAATAGTGTGGATATGACAGTTCATGAGAAGCCTGTCAATACGTCGCTACTCTACCAAGTGACACTCTAATCATCAAGTTATCGATGGAGAAAGTAAACAAACGAAGTAATGACTACAGTAACACAAAATAGTATCATTGTATTTTCCAGTTTCTTTTTAAAATCTTATTCTGTGTGCTTTTAGCATGATAAAATTTTAAGTGATTAAGTATTTCGTGATACTACATTTCTAGATCTGTTTGACAAATACCCTAGTAAAACTATTAGGAAGTAAATAACACTTATCCTATTTAATAAATATAATTCCAGACTAAGGGTTCTGAACTACAGTATGGTTATTTGACTGGATTCACTAAATCAGTTTTCAGAATATAACTCAGTTTATATAGTCTGTGAAAATTAGACGGATGGATACCACCAAGTAACAATTTTGGCTTTTAATAAGGTATGAAAATCCAGAGTTCCCAGTTGGATTTTAGTTAATGGTTCCACGTAGGAACAGTTTATTGCTAAGAACTAAAAATGTAAGTATCATCTCCAAATCTCCTTATTCAAACTTACAATCCTACAAAAGTAAACCTATGTGGGCGAAACTTTTCTGATTAAAAAAGAAGAAAAGACGGACATCATGCGCAACCTACCTAAGTATTTTTTACCACATAAATTTTATGGGCGATAATGAATTCAGTGTAAAGTTCCGATTTTAAAACTTTTCACAGTAGGGTGAAAGTGCAAAAATTAGGAAAACAAGAGCGCATAATGTCCTCCTCTTGAAGACCACATCCCTTGTTTAAAGGATGACATGCCAACATCAAAAGTAATTAGAATGCACACGAACAAGAACACTGTACTAGTTAACTAGGTTTTATGAGAAAAACTTGGTAGAAACTAAATATTTCTTATTTCAAAAGAGTAGAGGTTTGTTGCTCGTGAATGATTAGGTTTTACACAGTAACATCTTGTCAAATGCCTGGGACTGTTATATCACTTGATTAAGCTCCATTATTTTGAATAACCAAACCCGCGACAGTTTATTCATTTATTTAAACGCATAGACATTAGTACAAGGGGGCACCGAATATGTATGCGCCACATTTTGTCATTCGATTTGTGTGAGGGCTGGAATATTGCTCACGTACCCAAACTGAAGCACATAGTCTTCTTAGGGGGCCACTCCTTGAGCCTTTCACCTAGAGGCCTAATCCAAAAGGCGGTGGAACAACGTCAGGAGATGCAGTCCCATGGGAGCCAGTGACTAACAATAGGTTCAAACACCCCTTGTTCTCTCAGGACCATGGAGCTCATGTGCACCATTGGTTTGGAATCAAGATTTCCCAACTCTCCTAGGTGGATCTTCCATATCGACTAACCAGGTTAAAACGCCGGACATTAGCTTTTCATCCTCTCAATTTCGTAAACAACACCCCTGACGCGAGAAGGCAGTGAGTAGGACTTTACTGGTAGTGGCTGTATACGCGTGGCCATGTGAGAGTATTTTGAGAGAGAAGGAGGACTCTTCTCACCGTCGGCCATACCAAGACATTTGGAGGAAAGTAGTAACAGGGCTATGAAGGTTGTTTAAACTAGTTATCAAGATGATCAGATCCGCGTGATACGGGTATTTTTGTAAGGTACTCAGAACCATTTACTGTAATCATCAACACTACAAATCATTACAGTGGATAATAACGTAGAGATCCAAGAAATAACAATTGTATGTTACAGACAATCATTAAAGTGATTTAAAGTTACTTGTAATAGTCAAACTTTTTTGATTTAATATAAAAACCCAAAGTACATGGATGGGAAGTAAGCTCAAGTACTGGATGTAATACGACAATCAGAGACATGAAATATGAATTTCATTAAGACGTGTCATAATTATTAACTGATAATACATTAAATCATTATATTTATCTTACGTGAAGTAAAATAGCCACGAAGCATATGGGGATACATGTCCCAGGACCATTACACAAAATCTACGTGAGATATGGATTGTATTAGGGTTGAGTGCATAAATGAGTTGATAATAGTCTTATAAACAATAAAAACATATACAACGGAAAGTACCAGTTTGAAGAGGATATATACGCTGAAAAATTCGATACTAGAGGTCTTCGTACACCGGAATCAGTGAACAAAAGACAGAATAGTACGAAAGAACTGATAACAAAATTTTATAACATTGAGTAATATCTGACTGAACGTATTAGCTTATATCAACAGTTTACAAAATCGAAAATCGGATTACTCATTATTCATTGATGGATGTACACTAGATTGCCCATGGTAATTTGGCTTCCCTGTAAATCTGATATATAGGTTGTCATCCATCAGTCACATCTATCTTTAATTCGTTGCTCGATTATGGTGAGACAAGAGAGCAGGGTGGCTGAGATCTGTTGAGCACAATCAAAAATCCAACTACATTATTCATTTTGGTTTTTTTTTAATTAACCGGATACAATAGCGCTTTTTACTAAACGACTAAAATGTAGAAAACTAAGTGTCAAACATTGCTAAACGAACATTTGGTAGTCGAATTTTTTAATCTACTACAAAAGACATAGCGGAATTTCTTTACTGAGCTACTAAAAAAAAGGATTCCACATAGTGTTGACTGGAGTACTAATATTGAAGAATTTAGTCAACAAAATTACGATGATAAACATCTGTTTACTGAAAATTTATGAGGGGGGATAAAAATGTCAAAAGTAGAAGAGATGAAACAGTTTACACACATCGAGCTTTTAAACAATTTATGTCAACTCTAAACTTCAAAGGAGCTTACGAATTCGCTTGGACAGTATTCTTAGTCATTTGCAGCACGAAAAACTGTTTTTAATCTTATACAAACACCCTAGAATAAAGTAGCAATTAGATGTCTCTGCAAACATTTATCCTTCATACAAAATCAATGGCTCTTTTTATTGGATGTTTACACTTGTCTTTCCAAAGTTTCTGTGTGTTGATTTGGAAACACGGTCAAGTCATTTTTTGAGCACCATCATATCTAAGGTGAAACAACTAATAAGTGGTGTTTATAAGATAGACATTACACAAAAAGCTGTAAATTTGCGAGGTATGAAGTGAATAGATGTGGCGTTAAGTACAACACCACACTTTAAGCAATGATTAAAGGTGCCTTTCGGCAAAAGCATATTAATTTACGCTAAACGTGGTAAGCACTGTAGCTACTCATGGCAAATCAATGACCTAGGAACTTGATAAGTACATGTTCTCGATCCTTTCCGGTAACAAATAGTTATACCAAAGAATAAGTTACTCTAGTGGTAAGGATCTCGCTCTAGCGCTTTGTTAAACTATCATTCTATATTGACCATTATGTGTAAATGTTAATAAAAGTTTCCGTAGCTCACCAATTTCGCCCTAAAAATAGTGACGATGGGGAACGCAAATAAACAAGACACTAAGGTACTGAAGATGCTGCTGGCATATGACTGTTTTACTTCTCGAGCCCTTGGTATGCGCTTTATGTTGAACTAGAGATTTGTTATACCAAACTGAAACTAACTTTAGTAGCACACTTGTTCTCTAAATCCAAGACCTTCTGTTCACTCATAGAGTCAGTCGCCGCGATGACGTATAAACGTGGCTGATATTTACAAGCCAATACAGAAGTATATGACAGCATTTCAGCAGTGTGTCCACCTAACATAAAGTATAAATAAACATTACCAGATCCTAAGACAATCATAACCCTAGTCATCGCTGGATCATCACACTTGGCTTTAATATAGAAATAAACATACGCAGTCACCCACAAAATTGGTATTATCCAAAAAATCTGTACTGATAGTTAACCGGCCAAAATGATATACCATTTCTCATAGCTAAATACGCTTGCAGCTGATGACCTTCTTATTTAACTTTTACCGCTTTAAATTGCTAATAAAGAAAATAGTTAAATGGTTCAAAATGGTTCTGGATGAAATATAAGAAGCTTCCGCTTAAAGGGCTTCCGCCTCTAGTGGCAGTAAGTCGCCAATGCTTTCCAGTTCTTTCCAGTTGTTATTCATCCTTTTCATATTCGCTTCAATCTCCCGGCGTAATGTGTTCTTTGATCTTCCTCTTTTCCGCTTCCCTTCCGGATTCCAACTTAGGGATTGAGTCGTGATGCACATTGGTGATTTCCTTAATGTATGTCCCATCTACTTCCAACGTCTTTCTCTAAATTCCTCTTCAGCTAGAATCTTGTTTGTCCTCTCACATAAAACGCTGTTGCTGATAGTATCCGGCCAATGGATGTTCAGTATTTTGCGTAGACAAGTGTTTTTAAATACTTGTACCTTCCTGATGATGGTTGCAGTAGTTCTCCACGTTTCAGCTCCATACAGTAGGAGTGTCTCGACTTTCGTATTAAAGATTCTGACCTTGAATTTAGTTGACAGTTGTTTTGAGTTTGTAGTGCCGTGCTTCGATAATAGTTCACTTCGATAACCGTTATTATACCAATCTTAACGGTGTGTAAAATCAGAAGGCATAAGGAAGCGGCAACTACATTTTTATTGATAAATGATGCAGACCAGAAAGTTGTAGGCACATGAGCAAATGTAAGCGGGCGAAGCAAAGATGATGCGTAGTGGAGATGGCTGGGAAGCCAACCCGATTTAAGCAAGCGTTAATCGATATTTATAGTCGGACAAAAATGAATGACAGACATGTGATGGATAAGATACGAAGTGTGCATGCACATACGCCAATATAAAAAGTAGTCAAGGTTAATAAGCGAATAATTAACAAGATCAAAATATGACTCAATGTGTAGGTGAATTGGCTTGGCCAGCAACTGGAATAAAGTATATGGGCTTAACATAACAACCAATACTGCAAGTTCCATATGTTCTTCAATTGTAGAAATGCTGCCCTTGTTTTGTCAATCCTCGCCTTTACATCTGCATCCGATCCTCCTTGTTAATCAACGATGCTTCCCATGTATGTGAATGTTTCCACCTCTTCCAGAGGTAGAGAGAACACAAGTTTATGAACACAGTTTAATACAACCGATGTAGTGGAGGAGCTGATTTTCGACGTGTACATACTAGTGTTGATGAACAAGGAGGATCTGATGCAGATGTAAAGGCGAGGATTGACAAAACAAGGGCAGCATTTCTACAATTGAAGAACATATGGAACTCAAAACAACTGTCAACTAAATTCAAGGTCAGAATCTTTAATACGAAAGTCGAGACACTCCTACTGTATGGAGCTGAAACGTGGAGAACTACTGCAACCATCATCAGGAAGGTACAAGTATTTAAAAACACTTGTCTACGCAAAATACTGAACATCCATTGGCCGGATACTATCAGCAACAGCGTTTTATGTGAGAGGACAAACAAGTTTCTAGCTGAAGAGGAATTTAGAGAAAGACGTTGGAAGTAGATGGGACATACATTAAGGAAATCACCAATGTGCATCACGACTCAATCCCTAAGTTGGAATCCGGAAGGGAAGCGGAAAAGAGGAAGATCAAAGAACACATTACGCCGGGAGATTGAAGCGAATATGAAAAGGATGAATAACAACTGGAAAGAACTGGAAAGGATCGCCGAAGACAGAGTTGGATGGAGAATGCTGGTGAGCGGCCTACGCTCCTCGACGAGGGGTAACAGTCGTAAGTAAGTTAAAGCTTGGTCACTTCACAGTACACAGAGAGACTATCCATAAAGTCTACATTTTACGAATAAAAAATAGACATATTTGGTTTACACGTTTCGATCAGTGAATTGTTAAAAAAACACAGAGGGTGTCAAAATTAATCATACTGAAAATGGCCGAATGACCTACTTGGGGTAGCTTCCTAGGTCACAGGGACATTTGGCGGCCTTTCAACAGAGTTTGCTGGACGAACAAGAATTGTAATGACAGTTGTAAAATCAGACAGTTTGACTTCAGAAAAGTTGTCAAAAACGCCTGCTGGTGGTATGTGATTGAACTTTTCACGAGAATGTAGGCTCCTGGGGTGAAGTCAGTGCCCAGTATTCGGAAGACTATCATGATGAAGCATTCGGTTGTTCAGAATATCTGTATAATACTCAGCTTATTGAGGTTAGTATTCTGGTGTACCTGGTCTATCAATAAATATTCGTATGGAGTGTGGTTTATTTGCACAATCTAGTTGTATGTGTGCCAAAACCTTAATACCTTTTAATCATTGGCGTTAGTTAACTGGTATTTATCCTAGCTGATAATTTCATAGTACCAGACTTAATTGTCGGTCGTCTACTGTATTTCTGGCACAGGAATCTAACATTGTTTGCGTGTTGGCACATATTCCAAATTTCCAACCAAACCATATGCTATATTAATTCCACAATAATAGTGGAATATCAAAAAGTTGTTTTATATATGAGGGAAAGGGGATAAACCAATTTCCTTTTAACTACTACTTGAGATATTTCTAATCTAGTTTATCTTGTCTTCAGCGCTTTTCCAAACAAGCAACTAAACATGGATCTTTTGAAGGTAATTTAACGTGAACTACAGACCTTCGCATACATATCGTCATGACCAGACTTACCTGTTCTGACTACTTCATTGTATTTGATTTCTTGAAATATTCCTAGATCGTTGATGTTAGTTATAACCTCAAAACAAATACCAACAGTTTGCCGAAATCCTTTGTTTCATGTCGAGAGATTTTAAAGTAAGACTTGAGATTTTTATTAAGTTAATACAACCCTTAATTCTAAGTTAGCGTAATTTCTCTGTCCGAACTTTCCAATTCGAGTTGCACGTTAGGTCTTTTTAGTGCTTTCTCACGTTCGCTAAATTTATTCATTTGGAAAATATAATGAAAACTAGCATACGCTAATAATAGGTATGTCTTTTGTTTACAGTAGTTCGATTTTGTCTGATGTAAAAAAATAGTCATTGCTGTGTTTGAAAGGTGGACACAAATTAACATGACATTAAAATAAAAGGAGACAAAATGCATTAAATAACAAAGCACATAAATTTATCCTACTCAATAACGAAGCCGTATATAAGTAGTACTTATCTTTCCTAGACACAGAATTTACTGGGCTTCAGAAATATTCCATTCATTTTGAATCAATATGAATAAAGCAACACATATCTTGAAAGTGCTACGTTTCAATCTCGTATTTCATTTCCTCTGGTAGTGTCACTCCTGATTTCACTCTAGTGAGAATTGTTACTCTTCAATTAAATAGCAGTAAAGACCATTTATTTTTTCATTAAAAAATTGACCTCAACTAAATCACTGTGATTCAAATACCTAATGTTATTTTGCCTAGACAAAACTGTTGGGGATTCTAGATCCCCAAGAATCACTTGGTGAATGTCATACTTTTGTAACTTTGTCCTGGAAATTTAAATCTCTCGTCTTCGTGCCAAGGCGCCCATTTACACCTTACTGTATTTCCCACTTGATAGGTCCTTTATGTCATTGCTTCGCTTTCTCTTTTGATATGCTATTTCGTGACGTTTCCCAAGAACATTTTTGTACTGTATATATATATATATACGCTTGAGTTGTGTGCTTGTTGTCGATCATGCTTTTGGCTGTTTGTTGATCATATTTTCCCTCATCTGAACCTAGACTTCTCTCTCTAGTTAGTGGGGCTGGGACGCATTGGAATAGTTAGCTTGTCTTGCCGTTGTATTGCTGACCCTTCATTCCGTTTGCTAATTTAGGTTGATCTCGTAATCTCTTCAAACATAGCAAAAACGAACACAGCGAAATTTGAAAAGCGAAATCAGTTCATTCTATTTCAAGGATTTTCATCAGCTTTAAGCTTTAGGAGCTGTGTTACTTACTTACACCTGTTACTCCCAATGAAACATAAGCCGCCGACCAGTTAGGAGCTATATATGCTACTGAAATTGAATGTTTCCCATAATTTTTGTGTAAAGTTATTGATTTACGTAGAAACAACAAGATTCTCTCCTATTTTATTTGTTTGTTTCCTGAAATAGCAAATTAAACGTAGTCTTATATTCTTTGACTTACTACAAAAATTTACCATTTCTACTGCAAAATGATTTAATTAATGTAACTGTTATCCGATTTTTTGTAGAAGGTGCAAGCTATGGCAAATAGAGCTGAAGAAGTTGCACGTCATTTATGGATGAGTGGATGGGAAGTGGTGAACTTTCATAGATTACCCGCATGGTTGAAAGATAACGATATGTTGCTACATGGTCATCGACCTCAGTTAAATAATGTATGGGCTTGTTTAAAGTCGATATTCCGTATTCATACTGAAACTGGTAATATATGGACACATCTTATAGGTTTGTTTATTATACTAAACTTAACCGTCACTCTTTTCATACAATTAGGTTGTTTCAGCTTTGCCGTCATATTAGTCTTTGTACTTTCTCAGTCAAGCAGTTTATTACAATGGCAGGATAAACTTGTTTACTCACTATTCATTGTTGGAGCAGTGTGCTGTCTAGGGTTCTCCTGTCTTTTTCATACAATATCTTGTCACTCTGAGCATGTGGCAAAAATTATGAACAAGTAATGAGAATGAAATGTTTATATATACGTATATATTGATAAACAGTGCCTTTATTATTATTACTTAACCTGATTACTCAGTAGAAATCTATTACTTATTAACTTGTCAATTGAGATATTTTGTAAATAAGTAGTCTCCAGATCATAGTGTCATGTATTAAAAGTAATAGTTTATAAGAGTTTACTGAAGTAATCGCTTAACAGTCAATGCACTTGGCTGTCGTGTATTAGGTTACAGACTGGAACCAAGTTGGACGTCCTTTACTTTGAACAACTAGGTAGTATCACTAGCATTCATATTAAATGTGACTCAAATTTGAGTGAATAAGATTGCAGTTGGTTACCAAGTTGCATAATAACAACGGTTGTAATAGTGTAAAACTGTCGGTTAATACAAGTTTTAAAAAAATAAAATACCGAAATATAAAGTTCATACTTAAATTTAAAATTTCAATATATAAGTCTGTTTTCATATCTTATTATTCTAGTAAATAAAATTTAATCAAACCTCGTATACTAAGCAGTCCATCTGAAAAGCATCATGTATTTGTATACATAAACCGAAGACAAACATTTCCATCTTTGCACATCAGTACATCCCATGTCGTAACCAGCAGGTGCAAACTATCAAAGAAGTGAATTATATAAATCCCTTTCAAAGAAATTAGTGAAAGTACCTATATACATTCCGCATGCTATTAAAATTTCAGAAATATTCCGAATGATGTTTTTATGTGTAAACTTTTCTATAAATATTTATTAAAAAATAAGTCTACTCCAAGTGTATTACATTACCAAGCGATAAAGATTTGATTTGATCAAAGTGATTTATAATACTAATCAATTGTGTATGTTACCATTTTCTTTATAGGCTGGATTATACTGGAATAGCTGTCTTAACAATAGGCTCCTTTATGCCTTATTTATACTACTCATTTTACTGTATATTTTGGGCTAAAGTGTTTTACATGGCTTTAATTGGAGTTTTGGGCACTGCTGCGATTATTATTTCAATGTCATCGAAATTCGCTACTCCTCCTTATCGACCTTTAAGGGCGGGAGTTTTTATAGCTCTTGGTCTTTCAGGTGTAATCCCATCTGTACACTGTATCATTTTAAATGGATTTTGGCAATCAGTTCATCATCTTTCATTTGGTTGGCTTGTTTTGATGGGTGTACTTTATATCTCTGGTGCTTCCATTTATGCTGCACGTGTACCTGAACGATGTTTCCGCGGACATTTTGATTTGTGGGTTAGTTAAGTCTCATTAGTTTTTTCTACATTAAACCAAATAATTTTTAATACAACTAGTTTGTTACACAACATAACTTATAGCAAGTAGAGAAATAAGTATAGTTGATCTGAGAAGTTACCGTTTTTGTGTACAATATCCAGGTTTTTCAGTATCTGAGGCTAATTTTTTTCCCGGGTGTACCCTTCCGTTTCTGTGACTATTGTCAATTGAAACTTAATTTACCGTGCTCAGTATAATATGTATGCTTGTGTAAAGAATTGATCATTTAAAAAGTGAAATATCATCAAGTTGTTAAGCGAAAATACCACTTCTCATTAATCTCATTTTCGGAACTACGCAGTTACAATTGTATTCATTTTTTATTTGTAAAGTACAGTAGTTTTTTAAAGATATTTATGAAAAAAGTGAATGTTGCTCAAATCATTAACAAGAATGATCGCTTATTCTGTAAATAATATATATTAGCGTGAAAAGAAACTGTTCATAGGACTAGATAAGGCTTCAATGTAGATAACGAGTTGCTTGACATTAATTGGAAAATAATATGTAATCACTGTAAAAACATAAGAGGATTTTTTTGAAAAATCATATGTTATTATCTGTTGCTCAGTAAATAGTAGTTAATTCTTTTTTTCCTGTGTTTCAAACCGAGTGGGATATGTGGCGATGACCATAACGACAATTATGGTACTCTATGTACGACAGTAATGCTCACCTCTAGCCTCCCCCTCCCGATCTACTCTAAAAGACGAATCTTGTTAAGTAGATTTATTAGACGAGACCAAAAATGTTACCTTCAAGCTGATTTAGTTATATATCAACTCAATGATTATTCATTAGAGTTTTATTAACTTTGCTATCATCAATAAATACAAATTATAATGAATTATTCAATACAGGGAGAACGCATTGAAAATCATATAACTAGATACACTGAAAGTTATTGAATAGGATTCACGATAAACAGTTGAGGTTAACTAATCGAGAATCACTTTGAATCGAATTTCTTACTCGTAAGTTGTATGTGGGAATATATCATTTTCAACAATGAACTAGGATTTTTATGTGACCGATAAACACGTAAAGTGGTTGTTTAGACAAAGTTGTGTTTCAAGATACAGTTAATGGTGTGTCGAAAATTTCAAAAAATCGAGTTCTCTGAAATTAACCCGTAGATAGTGACTAGTATATCATTCAGGTCTGTTGCCAACAGTTTCATGTCGCTTAATTAGCTTCAGTGCATTATATTGGGAGCTTCCTCAAAATATTCATCTTAAAACACTTGGATTCGATTGTTAATATGATACTTTAACCATTCAGTCACAGGATATGTCCATTATCACAGTTTCTTAATTTTTTAAATATCCTACGTTTATCATTATTATTAACCAATTTTGTATGTCGTTAATATGTTAATGTGTACAAATTCAGAATATAAAACCCAATTCTAATCACATTTTCTAGTTTATGATCACTAAGAAGTGAAGATTCATTAAAATAGGATAAAGACGAATAACAAACCATAAAACACAATTTCGATCTATACTTTTCAAGAAATTTCATGTTAATTCATTCACTGGACATAAATGATAATAATATATGATACTTCTAACACATCAATATGATATACTCATAAGTAGTCTGAGTCGATTATATAGTTAATACGAATAACACGAAAATATGTGATATTAATAATCACAACACAATAAGATGAACAAATAACTTGACGGATAGAAGTTTAAAATATGTAAAATTCATGTAGAGATGAAGTTCCATTAAATTCAAATAAGCAACGTTTGATTAAGATAAATTCAAACCAGCAATTGGATGATGTATATTACTACTGTTAACAAAAAGTTGTACCGATTTGAGATTTCATTTGTACACAAAGTCTCAGTTTATTCACACCAGGTACTTTAAATAAAAAAACGTCTATCAATTTTAAGTGGTTCTTCAGAGACTTTCGTATATTTCACAAGTAATTTTCTCTGAGAACTGACGTTAGTGCCTAAAACGAAGTACAAGAACGACCCACCTACATGACTTTCAGGACTGAGGGCGATCAGCGTAACTTTGGATAACTGTGTTCAAATTGCTAGTTTCTCTCCGTGGGATAGGTGTTATGTAGTAGCGAAGACATAAGTACGGGTAACTTGCAGGACCTACTATTGGACTATCATTCTTATTGTATGACTATTCGGTAACTAGATTATCTAAGCTTTATTTTGACCTATTGATTATTACTATGTGATTTACTGTCCCTATGTTATGCTCAGTTTTATTGATTATTGTCTCCCACGCTTACAGCCTCATTTGGCCTGGTTTTGTACAAATATTATTTTCTATTTTATGGTGTGGTGTGGTCTGCCTGTCTGGTATAAAGTATGTTTGAAATAAACGATTCGCATTTCAGGAACTGCTATTGGTGTTTTGGACTCAAGTGGACGGGTTAGGCGGATAAGGACCAATAAGGACGCTAGATTACTCATACTAATCGAACGTCATTGTCACAGTGTGAAGGTCATAGAAGGCGTATTCTATTGGTGGATAATTTACGCGACTTACGTCCTTGTTAAATTCGTAAGGTCATAACGAATCAGCGACGACCTTGATCAAGTCATAACAATTGGCTATAGCCTAGGTTCAAAAACATAATAGGTGCTTCTCTAGGTTTTATTATTATTTTTCAATGAATTAACTGGTTATCAAGCTTTAAAATATTTCATTTGTGTGGCTTTTGTTAATACATTGCTTTTGATAAATTCACTGCTACCGTCCGTATTGGTTCTCTACCGGTAGGAAAACTTTAATTCCTACAACTTCAACTGATGCTAAAAACTTCGGTATATATTATATGGCAAAGCGGTCGATTATGGGAATGTATTTAGCTAGAGCATTGAATAGCCTTTAATTATCATTATTAAAATATCCTTTGATTACCAAACATAAATGTAGTGTAAAAGAAGTATATTTTTAATGCTTTATTGTATCGTAACAATATTGAATAAATTGATTATTATGGGGTGCCTGTAGCCAACAGAAAACTAAGATTTTTTCGTAGTATTCATTTTAATAATGTGAGTTTATTATATGGTTATTATGTATAACACAAGATTTGGTAACGTTCACTAACAACTAAAAAGGTTTCGGATGCTTGTGATTACCCCATTTTAAAGTTGGTATATGTAATATACATTTGGAGCTCGTTTTAAATTTGTTTAACTTCTTAAACTACTTAAATCGTTGAAATAATGTTTTTTTGTTTATGTCGATCAGTCGTAATCAACGTAAAGTCTAGTACACATGTACATTAGTCCGAAAGTCCACACTAAGGCACTACAAGACGATAAGATTAATAAAAAGTTTGTGATTATTTTATTGGGAATTGTTATGATTTTGTATAACAATCGTTATTGTATATGAAACGTGCAATGATACAGAAAATACGTACGAGCAGTCTTGGGTGCTATTCGGTCCTTCCTATCTGCCTAGCCTAGCCCAGCCCGTTAAGTCCAGAACACAAATAACAGCCTCGGAAATATGAATCATTATTCACAAGCACACTGGGTTATATATACTAACCAAACAGACCCAATTATACCAAAAAATAGAAAAATAACATTTGTACAGTATGTTGTATCCCCTGGCGAATTATGAATCATAAATCTGATGTCCATTTATGGACAAATGTAATACGCCTATTCCTATTGGATAGTTGTTAAATGAGTAACCTAAATCTGATGTCTATTTATGGACAAATACAATATGCCCATTCCCTATTGGATAGTTGTTAAATAAGTGACCTAATCGTTTCCGTGTTCCTCTTATCACAACCTTTGTTTTGACCTTGGAACCCCCTAGCTACAGCCACATTGGCCAATTACTGTACAAATGTTATTTTTCTATTTTTTGGTATAATTGGGTCTGTTTGGTTAGTATATATAACCCAGTGTGCTTGTGAATAATGATTCATATTTCCGAGGCTGTTATTTGTGTTCTGGACTCAACTGGCTGGGCTAGGCAGTTAGGAAGGACCGAATAGCAATCAAGACTGCTCGTACGTATTTTCTGTATCATTGCACGTTTCATATACAATAACGATTGTTATACGAGTCATAACACAGTAATTGGCCAATGTGGCTGTAGCTAGGGGGAAAGTAATCAATAATAATAGTTCCAAGGTCAAAACAAAGGTTGTGATAAGAGGAACACGGTAACGATTAGGTCACTTATTTAACAACTATCCAATAGGGAATGGGCATATTGTATTTGTCCATAAATAGACATCAGATTTAGGTTACTCATTTAACAACTATCCAATAGGAATAGGCGTATTACATTTGTCCATAAATGGACATCAGATTTATGATTCATAATTCGCCAGGGGATACAACAGGAATCATTGTGAGAGTTAGACTCATACTTGTGTTTGTACCAATGACAACCTCCGCTTTTTATTTATAAGCTTTTGATAATCATTCGACAATTACTGTTCAAGTGTATTTTTAAAATTAAAATATTCAATAATCTGTTTTGTTATTTCTTGTTTACTAGTTCCAAAGTCATCAAATTTTTCATGTATTCGTCATTGCTGCAGCGTTTGTTCACTATCATGGAGTAGTTCAACTTTCTACCTATAGATTATCAGAAGGTGACTGTCGTCCATCAGATGAGATTCTTACCAAGGAATTTTTCAGTATACCCTCGTATATATTGCACATTATTAATAACCCTTGAGTAAAAGAATACAAGTCAAGGTCGAAGCTTAACAAAAGCTAATACATATCAGTCGAATGGTATAAAAAGGCAATGTCGAGGAAAATAACTCTTCAAATACTTAAATAATATACTTGTAATATTCCAATGAGTAGAAAAATTAGATTTTCTGACGTTTTGTGACTTCATGTAAGCCAATTCTTCGGAAAATAAATAGTTTATAACAATCTACCCAATGCTCAATTTGATCGAAATTATCTTCAAACATTTGTTATTTCATATTTTTTCTTACTGTTACTATTAGTTGCTTTGTGTCTGAACAAACTATTATAATGTGCATACGTATATTACAAATGACTATTAGTGAATTAATAAGGTACTTGATTAACTAACAAAAATGTCTAATTACCATTAACCTGTTTTATTTTTTTATGACATATAGAGATGTAAAATAAAACAGAACAATCTCTGCCTGGATCAGTTAATTTTCTTCATCTCTGATTTTATAACTTCAGATTTTGGAATTGTAAGTTTTGTTTTCGTTTTTTTTTAAAAAACCTATTTTAACTTAGTTGTTTTTTTGGGGGGATTTAGTTCTTTAGTGATAAATTAATATATCTGTGCTTATTGTACTCAGGATACTATTTTTTTTGTATATCAGTACTTTAATGTAAATTCAAGAAGAAAAGATGTGCATTCAACTACCACAACTATTTTTACTAACAATTAATTCATAGAACGTTTTCTTGTTCTACAGCAAGGAACTTCGATAAGCTTTTGTATGATTGATTCTAGTCGTTAAGCAATTTCCACAAGTCATGTTATTTACTGTTTACTAACCATAAATACGTATAAATTGCTCAGTCTTCTTTCAGTTTACGTCACTCATATTGCATGGAACCTCGTATTATTTTGCGCGTTTTATAATCTATTTTTTGTATTTATGTGTTCACTTTTTTCTCCTAGTTAATGCCGCTGGCCAGTTTCTTATCTGAAATGTTATAAATTATTGTGGTATTACGAAACACAATAATCTTACAACATTATACATATGTTAGGACTGGAGAAAACCTCAGATTATATTCAGTGTGATATCTGTTCAGTGCAATATTTTCTTGTATCAGTTTGTCCCGACCGGTGCTGCTACCTTGATGTGGTAGTCAGGCTTGCCTATCGTGATGAACCAATCGACCTATACTGGCTGGAACAATTGTTCCTCAAAGTCCTACCATACCAGACATGTTAGTTGAGATGCAGTAAGACTAAAATCAGCAAACCCAAGGTCCGAAGGCGAAGTCGTATTGTTGACTGTACAGAGGCGTGACAGCAGTGAGGTGTTTCCTTCAGACAACTAGCATAAAACGATGCTGCCCCTCCCACAAGGAGGAGTGGGGTTAGACAAGGTCGACCCTAAAATGCACACCTTATCTCACGGATATCCGTCTCCGTCGGTAAGGTTACAAGAAGTACGGAGCTAACACGAAAATTATTCACAAGAAGGTTGTGTGTGGCCGACATCGAGCAGTTGTCCCTTGGACACTGCAGTCATACTCTAAGGTCACTAAAACCACCCTTAACCAGATTTCCTTTACGGATACCTCTAGAAGAACCCTTTCACGGTGTGGGCAACCTGGAATTGATAGCCGCCCTCATACCTCTACCAGCAGTCAAGATTACTGTATTCATAATCAATCTCCCTCTTTAATTCATATTATTCCTCCTACACTGACCTTCAACTCTAAACTTCCTCCTCAAGTGTCACCGTGGCCAACGATTCGAGTGCGCGAAACACTCCCACGTCTACTGAAACCTCGCTCCAGACTACACGTTGGAGCCTTCAACGTACGCACTCTGTCAAATCGACCAACAGGCCTCCCTTGCTAAAACCCTAGAATCTCATGCGATTGGTGTATGCTGTGTCTCCGAAGCACACATACAGGATCTTGGTGTGGTCATTCACTTGACCTTACCTCACCATAACGGAGAGCCGACGAGATACACCCTCCGTGTATCTGGCGACCCGATGACTAGTATTTGAGGACTATCATCTGACTGGTCACAATCACATATTTTCCCAATATATAAGAGGGGGTCAAAATCACATCGGGCGCCTAACTAAAACTCGTGAACTGCAGACACGAGGAAATCAGGCTGGCTTCAGACCTGGTAGTCGCTGTATCGACCACATATTCACTATTCGTCAAGTTTTAGAGCACGGACATACTTATTGGCGTCCGACAATGATAGTTTTTTCCTGACTTAAGAGCAGCCTTTAACTCTGTAGACCTAGAGGTTCTATGGCAGTGTCTGTCACTGAAAGTCGTATGTCAGAATTACATAAATCTTGTGAAGGCTCTTTACTCGAACACTACCAGCCTAGTCAGAGCTTACGGCGAACTGTCATCTGATTTTGCAACCTCAAGTGGTATATGACAAGGCTGTCCACTATCTTCACTTTGTTTAATTTCATCATAGACCTACTAGTGGAAATAACACTCTCGTCGATTGAATTTTCAGGAACTGATCTCCTACTAGGAGGTCCACTTATCGACTTATAATACGCAGGTGATATAGTCCTGTTTGACGAAGACGCTAATAAAATGCAGTCTTGGTAGCACTGAGCAACAATGCCAGGATGTTTGGAAGGCGTTTCCCTCCCTCTTAATGTAAATTGTTACTTCAGGCCTGGACTAAGGTCATTAAGTGAAGTAGTCGAATGCATCGACAACTTCACTTGTTTTTGAAGTTTGATCAGCCTTAATGGGTTGATGTCTGACGAAATCTCTGCGCAGATTCAGAAAGCTTGTTTGGATTCTGCCAATTTACGTCACCTATGGCGAAGGAGAGATATCCGTCTATCAATTAAGAGACAAATATACTGCGCAACAGTTCACTCTATTCTACTTTACGGCTGCGAAACGTGGCCATTAGGAGTAGAACGTACTCTTAAGCTACTAAAATTTGACCACAGATGTCTTGGAAATATTGCTCGCATCTGCTGGGATCACCGGGTAAGTAATAGTGAGGTTAGACGCAGGGTATTAGGGAATGATGGTAAATCAGTTGATAAGGTTGTTAATCTTCATCGACTGAGATGGTTGGGCCACGTGTTACTACGACGCTCAATGTTGGCTAGTGTTAGAGATGGTTGGAAAAAAATGATGGGCAGCCAAACCACAACGTGGCATCAGTCCTTGAAGTCACTAACTTCTAGTCTGAGCCGTGTCGTTAGATGCAGACTACTTGGTTGAGGTCCTCGTGACTATCGTAACCAATGGTTGGAAACTGGGTGACGTGGCTCACAAATCCATTACAATGGCCCAGGTGTATGCACTCTGTCTTCCCTTAAACCGCAAGATTAAAATTGCTTTATATCTTTCTACCAATTAATTCTTTCTTCTTGTACTAAATCCTTATACACAATCTTTTATATACTACCATTGAAGTAACTACAAAGGATTTGGTGTTCATCTTGTTGTGCTAATGAGGTGTAGCAACTTGGACCGATGCATATATGTGCCTGGTCCTACGTTGTAGCTGACTGTATCAATTTGGTGTGTTACTCATTCAACATATCATACAAAACTTGTTTGTGTACACTCACTAATTATCGCATGCCGGTGAATTCCGTGTAAAAATGAGTGTAGATGGTCTATAATTTGTCGAGTTTTCGGGGTTTATGTAAAATCTTCAATATGCTGTCAGTCGTTGTCTTCATCCGTATTTCGTGAGAATCTAAGTTTTCCTGTTGTAATTACTAGTTTTTTCAGCTATATCAATATATATACATATATTGACGGTGAATCTTATCACTCTTGAATGATGCGATTTTTATTCGCGTCGGGCTATAACAACTTTCTTTGTGCATTTATATCTTTAGGAGTGGTAAGTAACAATGGAACTATTGAAACTTTGAACAATACCACATCATACTTTCAGGACATGTCTTTTTCATTAAGATTATTTTTTCGACTGAATTGCTATTCGATTCCTGGTACTTAATATTTATCTTGTATATGTTGGCTTCCTCCGGGTTGATGTCTTTAGTGGGAAAATCGACTGGTCAAATCACGTTGGCGAGTCTTTAAGGGTGATAGTTTTCCTATACTGTAACTTAGGAGATAATAATGTTATTAGAGGACCGGCAACTTTTAGAATAAAGCACTTCATCATTTGGGGTCACAGGTTCATATGCACCCCACGCATTTCGTATTACTAGAGCTCATACAAAAAAACTTAGACCTGATTACTGAGTTCGGAACACCAGAGTAGTTTTATTAATTATCTCCACTGAAGTCTTGAGCTAGAGATCCATAATAATAATTCAAATAGAAATCAAGTCAACCAGTATCAAAGCATAAGATCCAAAACTCTAACTGATGTTTTGAGGATTTCATAGATATATTGCATTTATCACAGTGATAATTGTCTGACTCATAACAGCGTTGTGCGTTAAAGATAGTATGCTTTTACATAGAATGCAACAAATACAAAACGTTTAGAGCTGAAATGTTATTAAAGGACTAAGGAAAATCACTGTAAGGTGGTGAGTTACAATTAATATTGTTAAATCATACGAATGTAGTACATACACATGGAAAGGGTCTGAGATAAATATAAAATGGGTTTAAAGCTCTGTTATGGACCAAAATGAACAGGGGCTAGATGTACTTCTCTTATATACATATGTTTGGCTTTCTCGAGTCGATCGTGAACGATCGCACTGACACGGATAAATTCATTATTTGTTTTATCTCAGATTTTTCCTTTATACATTTTATCTCCCTCCTTGTCAAGTCATATTTCCTACATTTAGTCTTACTATCAGTGATTCTACTGACATTCCAACTCTGCTTTTCGATCTGTTAATTTTATTTCGATGTCCTGAAACAGTATGTAAAACAGTACATACTTAATGCCAGTGATGTTCCAAACAAAATGGATCTAGACAACTGGATGACATTAATGACGTAAACCCTGATAGCAAACCATGATTCAGTTCAATACAGAACATGAAGTAAATATGCACTAAGAAATTATACACATAAATTAAAAAGTAAAGGATGTACTAATTTTAAACAAAACCATGTAAAATCTCGAAACAACAATTTAAACCATGATGAAAATGACAATTATGAAAGATAATGTGATAGTGAGAAATTAATTTTACTCAAAGACCTAATATTCCAAAGAGTCACACTAGATAATCACGAAACAAACCATTAATAACATAAATATACATATAGAAATGAAAAAAAGTTGGCAAACATAAAGTAAGTATGGTAGTCTTCAGAAAAAAAGTCAAAATAAAAAGTCTCGACGTTAAATCTATAAATATTGAGATAGTATGAATTGGGTATTATGTAAATCAAATGAAAGATGATCAGTCAATAGACATGCACATATCACAAGTGCGTAATTACTTGTAATAACAATTTTGTCATACTGTGGAAATAGTTGATCATAATGTGTTAGGAAATATATCCAGGCCGAAAATTTTTAATTGATTTGAATCAAAATTGAGTCCAACAGGTTTACAATCGCCAGTAGATAGACGATAATCGGCAAGTTTAACTAAACCGTGGTAGTGAACTAAAGTTGCAACCACCGCGAACACATGAAATATTTGATGACTTTGAAACTAGACGTAGACAAATATGAATTAAAGATTGAAAAATTAACTTATGATACGGTATTGAATTAACTAAAGGAACTTTCAATTGAAGTTATTGTTTAAACGACGCTGAAAAAGATAATTTAGGTAGTCAACTTTTTTCCGAGATTAGGCGTATTCCAAGTGTTATAATACTAATACGTGGATAATGGTAGCTCGGTAGTAAGTTTTGAACTTTTATCCGTAAGCTTAAACCTTGCTCCGTCTACTTCAGTTCGGGTAGCTATTTAGCATCACTAGTCCTCACATCTAGGTGTAGCTTATAACCATGTACACAAGTTTGTACCTGGTCAATGAGATAATTAAAATAAATACATGGATAGTATTCTCTAGTAACCTTATATGTGCGTGTAGTTTGTTTCAGCCCAGTAAGAAATCTATGATAAAATACAATTACACCAAAACTCAAACAACTTGCAGATTCACACTTATATTGTTTATTAGTCATGTCCAAATGCTACCGACCTGCGAAGATCTATTCCTTAGCCGACGGTAATTCATTTTATTCTCTAGTCATTGTTCAAAGCTTTGTGATACCGTACACTAGTTTTCCTGATCAGATTTAATTTGTAAAAATGGTTCAAATAAACAAAATAAATCTGTATAGATGGATGCTAATTTTCACTCATAAATTCGGTTGTTTATTCTCTGAAGAAGTGACTTACACTGAGTCACGAAACATCAAAGAATTTAAAAACTTAAATTTTTCTACTCAATGGGATATTACAAATATATTTTTTCACTTATAACGATCTACCGAATTCTCACTTTATTTGAAATTATCGGGTCAAACCTTGGTAGTGACACCTATAAAGTTTCCTGATAAAACTACACATACTACTTAAACAGATTAGGTTTATAGTCCCTAGAAAGCCTTAATAAAAAAGCGGGCATAGCCTTTAAAATTTAAGATGTCTTAGTTTCGTGACTATCCTTCGATAGTCAAGATTGAACTTCTTCATTTCAGTATGATGCATTCTAATCTAAGTATTTTATAATTAATTACCCTTGATGCAAACAGGCAAGTCTATTCATTAGTGATTTTGAGAATCACTAATTTTCTAATTAGTAGGCTTATAAGCACGCCAAACGTGGAATCAAAAGAGCTCTGCTAGGTTTTCCAGTTGTATTTTTCTACATCCAGTAAGGCGCAGAAATGTCATGTTCGTACTACAGCATGGTCAGAGTTTGAGTGTGAGATTTAGGAGCGAGTTTTCTACTGACCCCTTTTAGCAACGAATAACAGCGATAATTCCTATTTGTGTTTATCCTCTGGTGAGGTCGGTGTCTAGGTTAAAGAATCTCTCCATATTTAGAAATACTATTTGTTAAGGATAAACTTGACTGAGTCCAGTTATAATTGCTAGTCACCGATATCTGTTAGATAGGCTAAAACATCGAAAATAGTGTTTCAGTTTGGCGCATGCAAATGTTGCATTTCATTTACTGGTTAAGTGTGTATATGAAACATCTTGAACTAATTCATTTAGGGTCCATACTCTATTAAACAATATACACAAAACAACCACAGATTTTGTACATCAAGGAATTATCATGCAATCAACAGAAGGTTTATAATGTACTGCCACTGAAAAACCTGTTACTCTAAGATAAACTATCGACAAAGGAATGAAACATTTAAATTTCAATATGCAGAAGTTGTTTGTATTTTAGTTCCTCTTAATATTCTGTTCAGGAAAAAAATAATAATTACATACAATATGATAAAACTAACCCAAATATCAAAACGTCCAGGAAATATTCTTTCCGGTACACGGACAGCATAGATGGTTGCACCACTTATATACAAAACGGCCATGAGAACAAGCCAACCTAAAGAACCTTGAATAACAGAATGGAAGAATCCATCTAATATTACTGTGTGAATGCATGGAATAACTCCTGAAAGACCTAATCCCATGAAAACACCAGCCCGAATTGGACGATAATGAGGTGTCGTAAAAGATGGGTGCATTGAAACAACGACTGCTGCTATCCCCAAAACGGCAACCAAAACCGTATAAAATAACTTGGCCCACAATGTGCAATAGAATGAATAATATAAATATGGTATAAACGAGCCTAAATTCAGAAACGCTATGCCAGCATAGTCCAACCTAAAAAAGAGAATATAAACCTTACCATAAATTATTTACGACATATTAATGAGATATGAGTATAATTAAAGGCCAAAACACAAAAACGTCTAGAAAAATTAAAATGTGGCATTCTAGCTATAACAGAAATGTTATCAGTTTATGGCTCCATAGGTGATTGACCTAAACCTTGTTAGACACTGTAGGCATGCTAGTTAGTCTTTTCTAGGTGGTACGAATTGATCATTTTAAAAGCAAAGATTTCATATAGCTGCGACAGCATAATAAATAAACTGATAAAAAAAGCTTTAGTTAACTAAAAGTCAATAAAATGAACAGTGCTACGATATATTTCAAGGAAGTTACTAAGCTAGTGGACGAAGAAAAATAAGTTGCTTGAAACTTAACAGCACACAATAAATTTATGCAGTGAAATGAATCTTGAAACATTTGACCTGCGATTTTCGTGCATTAAGAATATCTATGAGTGGTATCGTACGGCGATACGGAATTTTATGTAGCTTGCTTTCTTGTTCAGTATAGTTAAGTTTACTATGTGCGAGTTTGACCTGCGATTTTCGTGCATTATATCTATTTAAAGGGATCACAGTTACAAAATCGATAACCAATCTTTTTACCAACTAACATTTATTTGAACACAAATATTGGTACAAAGGGGCACCAGATATATATGCGCCGCACAAATCTCATTTGATTTGTGTGAGGGCTGTGCTACTTCCCAGATGCCCAAACTGAAGCAGGTGGTTTTCTTAGGGGGCCACACCCAGAGCCTTTGACCCAAAGTCTGGTCCGCAAGGCAGTCGAGCATCGGAAGGAGATGCAGTCCCATGGGAGCCAGTGATTGATTCATACGCCATTTGTTCCCTCAGGATACTGGAGCCAGCCCATATGCACCATTGGTTTGGAATCAGGGTTTTCCAACTCCACTAGGTTGACGCTCCGTGTCCACCAACCCGTTTAAAGCGCCGGACATTCGCTTTTCGTCCTCCCAATTTCGTAAACAACATCTCTGAAGTGAGAAGCAAGTGACTAGGACTTCCCTGGCAGTGGCTGTATTCGCGTGGCCATGTGAGAGTATTTTGAGAGAGAGAACGTACTCTCCCCATCCTCGGCCGTACCAGGGAATTCGGGGGCATAAATGTTATCAAGAAGCACAGGAAAGGGTTTAAGAAACTCAAGGGCAAATTTTTAGGTAATAAGTCCGTATATTCCGTTCACAATGATACAACAGCCGATTCGTTGTATTTCTGGTTTGCATTATAAATTTTCTTTGATCTGGTAACTAAGTATATTTTATACCATTTATAAGTTATGACTAATTAAATATGAACATATTACTCAGTCTTGTATGACAAATATCTTAGTTGTGGATTGTGGTGTTGTATAGAATTAAATGGCTTTTTCAAGTTTGAATGATCCATAATAACTCAAAATGTATAAAGTACTTGGTTGATTTTTCCGAAGATTGTTCTAAGGTAGTTTTTGAGAAGGATGGATTTCGCACGGAGTATCAATTGTTAGTATCTACACTAAGATAGTGGCCTCATTTTTACTGGTGCAGGATGAGAATCATAATAACACATGCCAAGTTCAGATGTTACTCATTAAGAATATCTATGAGTGGTATCGTACGGCGATACGGAATTTTATGTAGCTTGCTTTCTTGTTCAGTATAGTTAAGTTTACTATGTGCGAGTTTGAAACTGTACTGATTTCTGTTCTACCGACCTGAATATGATCAATCCTTATTGAATTCTATGTTCGACTGGACATAACCAAATGTACCAATCCGAAAGTCTAATATTAGACACGCTTTCTGAAGATTTTCCTTATGAAGAAAAAACGCTGACAAATTATACAAAACAGTTATGCCTGTTTTAATGTATACTTTTCCTGTTAACGCACGATACCTAAAACAATGAATAACGTCAACCCAATTTACATATTACTCTGGACAACAGTAATATCTTATGATCTGAATACCCCAAGAATTATTTAATAACTTTCCTATCAAAATTGTAAGAATTACCTGTTAAACAGCCGTCCAATGCTTTTTGAATGGCAAGAAAGAGTGTGAAATAAACAGGAAAGACCGAGACAAACAATAGCACCGAAAAAGAATGTAGAAAATACAAGCTTATCTTGCCATTGTAGTAGAGTCCCTGACTGAATTAACATGAAGACTGTAATGGCAAAAAAGCTCCCACACCCTAGAATAAACAATGTTTGAAATAAACATTAAGATAAGCAGTAAAAATGACCACATAAAATTAGAGCATGCTTCTAATTGTCAAGCAAGAGGTTTTAAAACTGGCTTCGAGTAAAAAGAGTTCCAAATTGCAAAAACCCAGTCCTTATCTAATACATGATTTTATAGTCATGCTACATTGAGAAACAATTAGTTAAGAAAAGAGACTGAACGTAGAGCAGTTAAAATCACCGAAGATCATCCCTAATTGTGTTAACTAAGATTTCAGTCGCTATTGCTCAAAATAAACGGACGTAGGATTTGAGTGGTGTAGTAATGACAGAGGTCGTTAACAAGTTTTATGAGCCAAAGAGCTTGAAAATGACCTGTTGGTCGTTAATAGTAACAAAAACTTGGAATTATCAACGGATTGAAAGGATCCGTGGTTATCAAAACTGCCAGTTTAAAAAGGAGTGAGATTAGAAACTGAAGAGTAAGGAGAATCACTTGGAAGAACAATCCAACTATACCTTCCTTCATGGTTACCAATTGATTCAGTCTTCAGACACAAAGAGAAGAGAACATCACTGCTGAATTGTAGATTTTTAGTTGATTCAAGAGTTCTGGTAAGCCTAGAATGAGAAAAAGCAATGGATGATGCTGCATCCTTCTTTCGCTATACTAGGAAGGCTAAGGATATGCTCAAATCTAGATCGATTGAACTTGCGATGGTTCCAAACCAAACAACCTATCATGGATTTTAGTTCTTAGCGAGCATTAAGAAACACATTAGGAAAATCGTAAGTACCGATATATGGTAATGCACTAACAAAATCGTGTTTTTGATAACTCTGATTATATTGATTTTTTTAAAGCAACAAACTCCAGATATGAGAATGACTTCGGTTGTGCAGAGAATGCTAAGACCAGATCGTGAGATAAAGCAACTACGAATATTTAACAATGACCTTATTTGTCGGTTTACTGATAAGTTTATAGTAAATCGGTGTTCTGAGTTCATTTTCTCTGAAGAACCAGTTATCCTTATGGCATGAATTTATTAAAAAGAACTTAGGAGAAAAGAATAGGAAATAAAACTACAAGGTCGCTTCCAGAATGAGTAGTAAGCGTATATGTAAATGAAACCAAAGGATACCGCCTGGTAATTCTACTAACTTAGTAAAATCTTATCAGAGTTTTAAGCTTCCTTGAAGACTTATGATTAATTCTAATATCTAAATCTCAAACTGTCCTATCAATTAAGAACGTTTTGATCTCCGTGTATTAAATGGAGTGAAACAATTGCTAAACACCGCCGATGACTGGACTCAGGTTTTGAGTTGTGATCACTAGGTTTTATGTTTTGAAATTTTGAAATTGTGTTAATAACTTGTCAGCGAGATGATACAGGTTATCTGTCAGCATGAAACCACATGTATGAGTTTTGAATAAGCTCTTGTAAACCACGTTTTTATGGAGGCAGAAGGGCACTCTATTGACAAACTAAGTGAGATTTTATAGATATAGTGAGCTATTATTACCACCTTAAAATGGCTTGGTAACTTGGTTTGAAATTCACTTGCCATGCAATGTACAGTTTCCCAAACTAGGTCCGTTTAAGACGATAATTGTCTTGTCATCTATAGAAAAGATGTGTTTCCTACATACTACAGCATAGTTCAATTCCAAATAATTAATTTAGTTGTGATAGGTTTGTTCACATTTACATAATCTAATAGCCACTGAATTTGAACGTATTTCAGTCCAAGTTTGAATGTGACAGGATGTTAGGTGATATATTGGTAATAGCAATAATCAAAACTCGTGTTCTCCAATATCGTTTTAAACCAAGAAAGTACCATCATCTGGTCTTTGACTGCCAAGTTTCCATTGACCAAATAGTCAGTATGTTATTACGTTTTACCAATGTATTCAAACAACTAAAATACTATCCACTAGACGGGGATAACCAAAATCGTCTAAGTGAATAGTAAATTTACTTTTTTATTACCTGTAAGAGAGGTATAGAAGTAATGGAGTACTTTTTTATCTCAGGACTTACTTTTTATTTTGAATAAAATTATACGGCCCAATAAAACGCAAACAACTTGCGATTAAAATTTATAAGGAAAATCCAGTCTTTTGTGAAGTACTCTCCACCACTGACAATCATCAAAATAAGTGTTATGTGAAAATCCCCATAAAATATTCAAAAACAAATAAATTATTGGGTATTCACAGAATAACTTTTTGAAGTTATGCAATGTAACTTTTGGTACTTTGTTTAGGTAACTTAAAACAAAAACATAAATCTAGAAAATCATTGAAAGTGTATACCAAATAATGGCAAATAGTTGGTTGTTCATGTCAATCATAGCCCTAGAATAAGTACAACTTACCCAACAAATGAGTCCATATATTTCCCGTTTCTGTATGCACTCTGAAAATGGACTTGAAACAAGCCCAAAAGGTGTTTAACTGAGGTCGATGATAATGCAAAATGTAATCATTGTCACGCAACCATGCAGGAAGACTGTGATGATTAACTACTCGCCAACCTCTGAGCCAAACATGACGTACGAACTCCTCAGCACTGTGTGCCAACATTTGAGCCAGCTATACCATAAAATGACAGAGAAAGAACACCCTATTTGAGACAAATGTTCTCAGTAACATATTTAAAATGATCCACTGCAGAATCTGTAGATGAGCAATATCACCTATTTTCTCACACGAATCTCCAAACAGAACAAATAAGTGTAGCGAGTAATGTAATAACCAGTAAATTATGAGTTTAAAGTCAGATAGAAACGCAAAAGGAATACTGTTGTGAACTGAGTCACTACCTGTTTTTTTCTTCTTAGAGATAATAGTGACATTATTAGGCCTGTGTACAAATAGTTTGTAAACTAATTTGAAATAGTGAGCTATCTTATTATAAGTTTTATCGATATTTCCCTAGACAGACTAAAATGCATTTCAAGCCTAAGATTCAGAAACTTATTCCTTTTACGAAAATGTGTAATAATTGAGAAATTAACATTTAAATATTTACTGAAAACCTATCAAACATAGTGAAGCGTTATGATATTATAAGTCACAAATAAAACAGTACTATGTGTTTTATCTATCTTATGGCAATCGACTACAAACTGGCTCCATCAAGAATAAAACCAACACATGAATATAACGACAAACCTGTTTTTAAATTGGTTACCGATTGTTAGGTCAATATGATTTCGCTTCAGAAATGAGGTAGTTCACCCCTACATTGCTTATTGGAAATGAATTGATTTAGGGTGTTTACGAATTCACTTCACAAGTTTTATCAACCTGAGCAAGTTAGCATATGACAAATTTACTGTACGGGTTTAGAAAGGGGACTCGGTTTTCCACACTTGTTAGTTGTGACGCTGGTAGGATGTTCATCTGTTAATGAATGACTGAATGCACTGTACAGCAGTCTATCTTGTACTACTTTACAGCTGGAAGAATGACCTGTAAAATAAGCGACCACTCCCAGACCGCTAGTATTCGACAATAGGTATGATTCGATACTGATTAAACATCATACATGACTTGAAGTCATCGAACTGTAATAACCTTGTTCCACGATTCGAAGGGAAGGCAAGTTAGATTTACGCAGTCAGTAAAAGGGCGAGTATACTAGTAGGCAACTCGCTGTATTATTCTATGACTGTAAACATGGTTTATGTAAACAGAAGACAGGAAAAGGTTACAAGTTTTGTCCAAATCCCTTTTGTTACGTCTGGCCGATTGTGAACGCTATATTCGCTTCCCTAAGCTAGTTTCGTACCCCCGAGCTAGAACTATACACCGACTTGAAGACCAGAGAAAAGGCACAAAGTGTATGGGAAACACCTTACTACAGGGTTCATTCATGTACAGAAAATACAGGGATTTTATAGTAATTTAAGAGTCCTTGAGTTTTACCGAAAGTTCTAGAATACTGCAGTGTGTTAATCAGTCAATCAGGATCTCGTTATTTTAGTAACACAACTTCACACAACTTCCAATTAATCGCTAATTGGTTGAAATGCCCCTTGATGACTAACGAGCTTGTAATGTCGCTTGAGAGAAAAATGCAGGGTCATCCCAACACCTTTAAAGCATTGCTCGCATTTATTATTTATTTATTTGAACAGATAAAAATTGGTACAAGAGGGCACCAAATACGTATGCGTCACACAGTAACAATAAGGCCAGTCGCAGTTATCATTGATTTGTGTGAGGGCTGTGATACTGCTCGGGTGCCCAAACCGAAGCATATCAAGGAGCAAGCGAGTTAGCAATACTAAGGTTAGGCATATGGTGTCAGGCAAAAAGATAAAATGATCTATGAGACAGTGAATTTCGACTGACTGAGGAGACTGGAACACAAGTCACATATGCCTAATCATTGTCTACCTCGACACACAATATTGGTCGGAACACATTTGAAGAAAACTAGGAGGAAACCAAGGTATGGCAAAATTTCATACAATAATTGGCTTCTAAAAAGAATTCTATTGACAGGTGCAGGTAAACTTGTTGAGGATCGTACGATAATCGCGAACAGTAATTGAAAAATTTATTGAACGACTTACAAATAGTTCACTTCAACATTATTTAGTCCCTCTTGTCCCTAGAATTTCACCCTTATTTTGGGACAATAATGTTCAGTGTTAGATCTTTCCCGAAACAATTGATATTACTACTATTGCTACATTTTAGCTATTCTTCTTTTTAATCTCATATCATCACGCTAGGGTGGTAAAGCGACTTGCTCTGATGCACATTCGTGTCGGGCCCTAAGTCGCTTATGACTGACTGACATAATAGTAAGCATACGAACCTTTTATTCGCCACGTTATGATTATTTTCTATTAGGTCATCAATTTGAATTGTCATAATTCTGTAACAAATAAATAACATGGATATAAAAGTATAAACCTAAGATAGCTCTACGATAAGTGGTAGGACTAGATAAAGTGTGAATCCATCTGGGTTGTTAAGTATGACTTTGAATCACAATACCGACTGGTTCCTAGGAACTTTAAAAATTGCCGAGATTTTAGTTTATGGATGAACCAATCATATGCAAGATGGTCTTGGGCTTTAACGCGAAATTCATTGATCCATATGTCTAAATAGCATTTTGGGATTACAGCTGATTTAGTTCGTGATGAAAACTCCTAAATTTAGTGGCGAACTTTAAGTCCTAATCCTAGTACCTCACACTAATTTATAACTCTCCTTTAACCATAGAGTGTATGTGAATATTCCCAAGGTCCCTTTGGCATCCCTCAAAGATCATCCAGAAATTAGTTTCATCAAAAAATCGACAAACCCAAAGACAACTTTCAAAGATCTCATGGTTTGATGGGGGTATTTTAGTGAAATGGACATAAATATGTCGCCAGAATTTTAAATCTCAGTTTCAGGATCATTGGAATAGCAATACTACACAGTACTGATGAATTTGCATCACACAAACTTATGTATTTATTAAATCCCTGAGAAAGGGTTTTATCTGGCAGTCATTCCGAGGCTATTTTAAAAACTTGGCGAGAAAGTTCCGATTTGACTGAGTGTTTATTTTCAAAATTTTTGCTTGTCATGTGTCGCAGATTTTCGATTAATTAAGAAGATTCCGATGAACCTTAAATAAGTTTAAAGTGTCGGTACACTGTTAGCTAATAGAAAATTACTTCTCCGTTTTGTCGTACCATTTATCTGAAAAGGAATTTTTGTAGTACATGAAACAACGAGCAGTATATCAGAAAAATCAGAACGCAACTTAAGTTCTAAACAAACGGTTAAAATCTTTTCCGGGACCTTGGGCAGTTTTCGTGATAAACTTTGTGTTAGCGACTTAATTCAACAGAGACCGAGTCTCCACGAAGCTTAAGCTATAGATGAGTGTGCATCTAATATACCACTCGAAGTAGTAGAATGATACTTCACCGATCTATTTGTATACAAAATTTAACTCTTATAATTACCTGTGAGATATCATACTGCTTAATATACTCCACGCAGCTTATTCGTTGACTTTCGTCTTCTAGTAAACACGTAGGCATCTTGCGTTCATCAGCTTGGGTTATTTCAGTGTGGTCATTGTCATGGTAGTTCATAATTACTGTGACGAACGAATACAGTAAGTATATGAAACTACGCTGTTTCGGTCTGAAAACCTTTATTCATCCAAAAATAAAATTATTGGAAGAGTAGGGAGAGTTGGTATGGTCTTCTACATTTAGGACTAATAGCCTGGACGATTTCTGGAATGGAAAGAAAATAAAACAACTGTGCGTTAAGATTAGTTTCACACAGTAAGTCTGCATGGAGAGGTTAGTCTTAAAAAATTTACAATTAGAATGCTAGTTTAATATGGGTTTTCTATTTGTTTGGGGGTCAACACCCAGAATGTGAGATTATATTCAACACATTACATTATACATTGATGGAACATTTAAACTGTGCTCCAAGGTCAATCTAACATCCTGTATGTAGACCTGGTCCTTTATAAAAAATATGGTTGATTTGTTGAAATGTATTAAACCTTGTTGTATGGCTTTGTAGTGACCTATTTTTGTAACGAGAACGCGACTGGTATTATGGAAACATTTATTATTATACCAATTATACTAGTGATAGTTTTACTGTACTTATTTATTTAAGTGCACCAAACACACATTCTCTCATTGCCTGTAATCTTGCACAATTCGCACATGCTCGTTAGTTCCGCTTGTAAACTTTGGCACGTCTCGGTATTTTATTGGTACCACGAGATCGCCAACAAATATATCTTATTGCAACCGTCAACAGCCTACTAATTTTTGACCTACGGATGTATCCAACTCGATATTTGGCACATAATCTTCCTGTAATTGTGATCATAGTCAATCGTGACTCGACGCCGACTTCAGCTCCTAGAGAAACTCTAGACTGATTGCGAGATACGAGAAGAGCAAAACATCCTACAGCTTGTCGACCCCAAACTGAAATTCGTGCCGCTAGAATTCAATATAGGAGGTAAACAGACGTTGCAGTCACTGTCCAGTGGATAAAAAATGAAATGAGATCACCCTTGTGTACTGTTAAGGGTTTCAAATATCCTTGAGATTACCCAGGGGATGCTTAACACTGTAAGGAGTGGAATGGTAAAACATATCGACACTTTAACTATAATTTAAGACATAAATTCATAACCCAAGATCACCATTTGTTTTTCAACCAAATAAAAGAAGTTGGTTCAAGAGTTTAAATAGCTCGTCTTAAAAAAGTTTCTAGATAACAGTCAGTAAATTGTTCCCGAAACATTGAGGACGCTCAAGCCTGTTAGGACGCTTAATAAAGTAAACATTGACTGCATAGAAGTAGTGTTTTAAATAAAGTCTCAAGGAGGTGGGTATAACAGTCGAAAAATGTCTTCATCAGGGCATTCGCAAGCTTTATGAAGCTACTTTATTACTTTAAAGACTTTGACAGTTTCTATACTGCGGCGCGTAGTTGCTTTCAAATCATAACATAAAATTACTCTTAGGTGCTGTAGATCCACTGAAACGTTACTCAGCCCTAGTCCAGTCGTCAAGAAGACCAAATGGTTTATACGTCAAACGATAGGCTGCTGATTGTTGGACAGCTTACTGAAGAACATCAAGAACAAATATGAATAACGCGGATTAATCAATTGCAATCAATGGACTAGCATCTAATGCAGAGACTGAACTCTATATTCCTCTGACTTGCTTTTACCAACATATTTCTTTAATAATATTATTACAGAAGTCATGGTAGCTATGATGCGTGAGTACCGCAAAGAGGCAATCCACATAAGATATTAACAGCTACGTGTGACATCTATGTAAGCTAAGAAGTAACACCATTCCTGTTCAACCAAAGTAGATCGCATTCACTGACGCAGACCATTCACATGAGTTACAAGTTCTCTCCATCATCATAAAGACACAAATCTAGATTAATGAAATGAAGTTCTATTGTTCGTGCACCTGTGAAAATAGTGTTTTTGGTTTAAGGTGTACTGGTGTTTATTGTGTTGTCCATAGTGCTATTAATAGTGTACAATTAATAGTGCTTATATTTTTATCTTAACATTAAAACCATATATGTGACCCGCTTGAACTAGCAAAAACATCATCATAAATAATGTGACCGCTGATCGCCCTTCGTCTGAGAGCAAGAGAAGAGGTTGACTGACCTTTTAAAATTCTCAACACCCGTGCGATACATAACATTTTAGAGTATTTTCTCACAGTCTATTTGGTAGGTGCCGTAGATAAAAGCGTAATCTGTACTGGGTATTACATTTCAACCGACTCAATTTGTCTAGCAATATCACACTGTAGCGCATATCAACTTTAGTGGATGAAAAAGCCTACAAAATGAAAGTTGGGGGGTTAATATGAAGTGTTTGAAAATAATTATTCTTTTTCGAAGTTCGAATGATCATGCTATGAGACTTCATATCGAAATAGAATATGTTGAATCTTTTAGAAACGGATTTAACGACCACGCCAGTTATATGGGTATTGAGGGGGATAACTCTATGTATTACCCCGCAGTAACATCCATTACTAATCAATTATAGTTTCTCGCTTTCAAGAAGGAACTTAACAAGTACTGTACCTCATTGCAGCCAAGAATGCTCTCAAATTACAACGGAGTGGGACCCGAGTAACATGCTATCGATTAACCCTTACCGGCAATGTTGAAATATTAATGAAAATAACCCGATAAAACACCTCCCTAAATTAATTTGATGAACCTTCAAGTTTGAACTCGTCTCACTCAGCTAGTGTATCCGAGTTCTCATGTAGCTCATCTCCTCGTTTCCTCCTCCTCTCGATAAATTTGAAGTTGTCTAGTGCAGGTTCAGCGATCAAACAGTAATTGTCTTTTTTATTAGTCTGGAGAATAGTTTAAGATGCTTTCTAGGTATTTCCGGTCTCGCAGTACTAAAGCTAAAATACTCCGAGAACTATCGTTGAATACTCTGTTATCCAGTTTTCATGGTATTTGGACAAAATCGGAGGCAACTGTGACCATAAAAAATATTGTTTCCCAGAAGGCCCAAAGGTGACAGGATACAACAACGGTAGATTTCACAACTATCATACAGCAGTTACTGGGTGGCAGAAGTCTATAACACCAGACAGAATCACCCAGCATTGCCCCAGAGCATGAGACAATTCAGCTCCTCAAATTGAATTGAGAGAATGACACTATTTCATTAGATGAGGTAAGAAATCTGGAAGGTTACGGTACTTTTTATATTAATGAGGAGTGATACAAACTAGTGTATCCACAATCACAGGAAACAGGTAAATGCCCGTCTAGTAGATTTATCATCCCGAATGGATCGTATCTTGAATTAGGCATCCAAAGCATGTGTAATCAGCTGGCGTAGATAGCTTAGTGAACTGCTATTCAATTGATCATGATTTATCCATGGTTATGGTCAACGATACATGCACTCTAAATAATAATATTATAGAACGTGGAAAGAATTCCCTAATCACCGAGCTGCAAATCATTATAATAACGGAAAAATGGCCAGTCTTCAGTACTAAATGCAGAACTAAGTATGGATGGTTACATAATGCGCCATTTCAACAGAGATCATAAAAGGGGCGCAGGTTGTGTGATGTACGTTCACAACCTTGCTAATGAAATAAGATTGGTAGATAGTTTGGCGAAGCACAACACCAGCTTCGCAATGAATCATCGTATGAGTCATTAATTATAAGATACTTGTGGGATGTATGTCGATTACCGAACTGAAAACCTGAAAAAAACGACTTTTTCGAAGTCGTTCGCGTATAGTCCACAATTAAACGTTGATTTCAAACTCATTTTTGGTAACTTTAGTCCTCCAGAAATCACCTGTGAGATGAGCGGTTGACCTCAGCGACATGAGGAAAAAGTTTGAACCATATACACTTATGGCTGGAAACAGTCTAATATAGTACCCTCATTCTGACGATTAATATGTCTTTCGGAAGATAGGATATGTGTACGCTAATTTATTGCGCATGTGCGCTTCAATACATGCCTTAGATATCTGTCTGTAATGCATTCAGTGTACCCATCTGTTACAAAGATTTATTTAAAAGTAAGTTTCATATAGTTGTTAGGGACCACATCTTGGATTCATAGACTTGGATTGAATTTCTGTCCTCAATGGTTGATGGGAGTTTATAAGGGTCTATAGGGAATAAACTATAAATCAAAATATAAATATATATCAATCTCTCACAAACATAGTCTGTTCCCGTTTCCTCTATAGTATCCGGCACCTAACTGGTTTATCATCAGGACGTCCGTGCATCAGTCCGATAACTAGAAGGGATGTGCAGGCAAGTTTACTTTGTTTCGTATGGTTCATTTACAATCAGGCTTGCTCAATTCAGAAATGCTTTTGATATACCCCAGTTACTTATGGCACTGTTTCATCTTGCCCCTCCAAGGTGTGCAATAAAATTAGTCACAATGCTAATATGAAAACCTGTGAAAACAAATCTATTTTTTTGGGATTGTTCTTCATGGGACACTGAATTTTGGATTTGCTCAAAGTGACCTAATCATATTGTATAACTTAATTAGTAAATAACTTCCTGAAACGGCGGTTTTGTAGGCAATCATACCCAGCTTATTTTCACAATACACTGACTTATCAAGTCAACTCAGCTGAAGTAATTTCTTCCGAAGCTTACCGCTGAATATCGAGAGTTACTTGCCGTGGTATTGATTATTAACCATGCGACCTTCAAAGCTGAACATATGATAACTGAGAAAATCTACATTTAACGGCGAACATAGAGAGAAGACCATATATGGTGAACGCGGCAACAAAGAAATAGAAATAGCGTGGATCGGTCATGCAGGCGCGGTCACCCTTTTCAGCCTCTTGTTTCTGTATCAAATATACTAATTTATTTCTCAGTGCAAATGTGTCTTTCAGAAGTTCTAGACGTTATATTGCTGATTGTCACAGTAGAACGAGTCAGTGTAGGTTGTACTGTGACTTACACGTAAGACCGTACGGATCAGATACCTACATCAAATTTTTCTCTTTATTCGCTACTCAACCATGTGGAACAGACTGCCAATGAATCCCCGTTACAGTGGAACTACAACCCGGTTCATAATTCTCCTTGATGTTTTTCTTTCCGAAAGTGTATTGTGTCAGCTATTGAATATCAACGTGTTTAGTAATGATTCATACAAAAAGATCCGTCATCTATCTAATTGACTGAAAAGCAAAGTGAAACCCTAGAAACTTTTCACGTCTTTTTTATTTTCTTTTTATTCATCTTAATACATGAAATCTGATTATATCCGTATTTATAATTATTACTGTTAATAATATAATAATAATATAATAATACTTGGCCGCTAAATGATGCTTACAAATACCTTAAAACGTCCAAAGAAACGCACAATCGACTACCTTCTACCAGTGGTCGTACATCTATAGAACCTGT